TAATTTCACCCAGAGAAAAGCTGTCATCATTTATATGCAGCTAAATGTGCAGCTTGGCTCAGTCCCGCTTCTGGGCCCAAATGGGCTGGGTAAGGTCCCAGCAAATTTGATGATCTCCTGTAGGTTCCAGGAATTTGGGCAGAGCCGTGTATTCTGGGTCGGACAGTGATTTCAGTTTGTGCTTAGATGCCAGGCCCACAGCGGTGCTGCTGATTTCCCCAGTGAGAAGTTCCTGTAGTGATTTTTTTTTTTTTTTTTTTGGTACCGGGGATTGAACTCAGGACCTTGCGCTTCCAGGGCAGGCACCGGAACCACTGAGCTAGATCCCTGGCCCTGTAGTGAATATTTTTGGCAGTTTCACTTTTCTTCCTCATCCTTAGAAAAGAGTAAATGTTGACTACATGGATGATTGAAATGCACAATGTAAAGGGGAAAGGGAAAGTGGGTGAAAACTCAGTAACAGCATAAACAAATGCAACGACAGTGATTAAATACCACAAAGTCTTCACCAACCAGTTTTCCAAGTGTATTTTGAAATACTGAAGGGTAGTGGCATATTATACACTTTTACTGACTTCACTATTTTTCCATCTGTTTTCCCCAGCCTGGGGGTTTATTCCAGTTCCAGAGCTACTTCCTGACTGCTCACTGTTTACTAATGATATGGTCCCCAAGATATCAGGCAAGCGACAGACAGGTCAGTTTTAGTTAAAAGGTGACAAGAGCTACTGTGACGAGGAAGGAGAAAGCCAGAGCCAGAGGAGACAGGCCGGCTTCTCAGCTCCTTAGAGGAGATGAAACGGGCTCCAGTCTGGGAGGTGAACAGGCCTTGGGCAGAGGGTGGAAGTGGGGCGGTTGTGCTTTGCAGCAGAGCAAGTTGCCGAGGAGCCTGGCAAGAGCATGTGTGGGTGGCACAGAATTCCCAGAAAGCCCCAGGGTGCAGAGCACACGAAATGCTCCCTGGGCCGCGCCTGCTCAGCCTTCACTTACCTGCTGTCCCCAGGGCCATCCGATCACCGTGAGCCAGCATTTTCCAACGGTCCCCTGGCCACCAACTGGGCCACTGCGGCAAGGACAGATCACGGCTAAGGCAGCGGGGCTGCTGGCTGAGACAGCTCACCCAGTCGCCTGGGGCAGGCCTGTCAGAGCGCCGGACGGAAGAGGCTAGGCCTGAGGTCGGGCAGCCTGGCTGGGCCTGGTGGGGCCTGTGCTGGCTGTGGACTGCATGCACGGTGAAGGACAGCCCGCTGGCCACTCTGTCTCAGAGAAGCGACGCTGTTCTGTTCAGACCCCCAGCCCCTGCACTGAGGGCAGAGTTCAGTGTGCATGGGGGAGACACAGCACCTGCGGCACTGTAACACTGCCTGGCCTTCACAGTCAGTGCCCTGGTGGTTGGCAAGCAGCTGGGGGGTCATGCAGCACCCTCCCAATGTGCTTGCACACAGGACACCTGGGAATTTGCATTTCAAGCACAGCTAAGACAACAGAGGCTCTGGATACATTCACTGTGGAAGAGTCAATCGCTCCTGTCGCAGGGTGGGGTGCTGCATGGACGCTCCCTGAGTATGGTCTCTGGTAAGAGTCCCGGTGTCCTGGAGAGGGGACAGCTGAGCTTCCTCAACAAATGGCAGTGCTGCAGCAAGGAATCCATGAGCAGCACCCAGGAACCGTAGGGAACATGAGGCTGATGGACTTTGCTGTCCTGCTTCACTAGAGGTTAAAGTCATTCGGAAGATGCATGGATCTCTAAGGACACAGGTGTCTCACGGGAAGCTGAGTGTTTCCGTCTCTGAAGCCCTGGAGGGACATTTGACACAGAACTGAGGAGGGTTTGTGGCCTTGCTGTGAGGCATCCACGGAACGTAAACGTGGAATCTGATGCAGCACACAGGTGGGCACCGAGTGCCCCCGGGAGCTCAGGTCCTCTGAGTGGACAGCGCCCCATGACTAGGGAAAAACACAGATGATTTTACAAAAAGCAATTTGCAAAAAAGCTTTCTCTTTCAGGGAATTGCTGTCAGAGGATGAGCCATTTACAGAATTGGCTTTTCCCTGGTTGGTCCCTGGCAAATTATTGTAGGAAAACTGACCTAGAGCTACCAGGAAAACTGTCTGATGTGAGAAGAATTTATGGTGAAGAAGACCTTTGGGCTTAGAGTCGGCAGAAAGAGAAATCCAAACAAGAGAAATGAAGGGCCATGAAAGCCGTTGTATTTTTACTAGGGCAATAATGTACACTGCCAAAGGAGTGTTTATTCATAGAAAATTAGTAGCAAGCGGAGCTGGAAACAGCGGGAAGGTGTGTGTGTGCCCGGTGCTGTGCTTAAGTGCTCCAGGCTCAGGGTTAACTGAGCTCCTGTTTCTATCAATAGACCACTGTTACCAGTGTGAGTCAGCGTTGTCCCAGACTTTTACAAGGCCGAGCTGAACCCAGACCTACCGCCCGTAATAGCGATGAGCACCCACAGCAGACACATTGCACAAGGGTAACTCATAGTGGCAGTCATATTTCAGGAGGGAAATAATACCAGTACTTTATTTGTGAGATGCTTTGCTTGAATAAGAAATGACTGTGTTTCTTGGATTCTAATTCTGGCTCTTTAATAATTAATAAACTCATGGATTTCTTCAGCAATGATCACCCAGGCCAAGACCTATTCCTAGGAGCTCAGGTCTTCAACAAAGAATAAGCAGGAGACACAGTTTCCACCTCCAGGGTTTGTCTTGTCTGTGTTTGACCAGCTAACCATGAGTTGGTTTTAGCGGAGGATGTGGCGGGAGGTGAACATCATTACAAGTGCACTGTAAAGTAGGAAGGACAAAGCAAAGCGACTAGAGACCAAAGTGGGAATGGAGGACATGGCGAGCATCTGCAGCAGTGGCTCCTCGGTTCCCTGGACACTGGGGCAACTATGCTAATGAGCGGTGAGGATACACTCGAGGGGAGAAGGCCTGGCATTGCAGGATTACAAAGAAGATAAGAGAAGAACACGGAGGCTGTGTTTGAATCTTACTTTTTTCTACCTAAATCCAAGCAGCCAGAGGCCAGTTTCCCTCCACTCCTTTCAGAGTTGGACTATGCCCCACACTTCCTGGGCAGCGTAGCTCCATCCCTGCCCCCGTCTGCAATGCTTTCTTCCTCCTCTCTGTCCAAATTCTGTCTCTTATGGCTTAGCTGATGATATCTGCACTCTCTGAAGATTTTCCTGATGTATCTTAACATATTACTGTTTTGTATCATTGTTTCATTGGGAAACAACCATTTATTGAGTGTCAACTCTGTGTCAGATGTGATTGTAGGACCAGGGATATAGCAGTGAATAAAATCAGGTTCTCTTTCTCATGGTGCTTCGTTCAAAAGGGAAAATATGACAAAGAAAATAAGTTGTCTTGATGTTGGCTGATGGACGCAGAGAGAGAGAGACGGAGATGGCAGAGGTAGAGGTAGATGCGTGGACAGATGGTCGGGTGGGTGGAGCTTGAGAGGACAGATGGACTTCGTTGAGAGAGCCATAGAGACAAACTGAGCGAGCAGCTTCTATGTGTGGTGGGCTGACAGTGCAGCCGAGAGGCTGTGCTGTTGCCTCCTCCACCATACTGCAGAGAAGGACCCTGCTGTTCTGCTCTGCAAAATCTTTTCAGTGCCAGGGCACAGGACTGGACTTGGGTAAGAGGCTTAACAGATATTTGTTTGTTGACACTGTTTTTCACTTTTTATTCAGCCATTTCAGCATGGCAGATGCAGTTCAGTTTCCACTGAAGTGTAATTTGCCCTCCACAGGCTGGCTTAGAGATTTGTTGGGTTTCATATTTGTATGCAAAGCAAGATGCTCCACATAAATCCAAGGGGATTCAGTAACCATTTTTGGCAGCAGTTTCTCCCTCATGCATCAATTTTTTTCTTTCTTGGCTTTCCCTGGTGACCCTGCATCACTAGGGGTTCTTAGAGCAATTACTATGGCTGCACCCAGTGACCCTTCACCTTCCCTAACAGTTGGACAAATCAGGCAAGGAAGGAATGGGGCGGAGTGAAGGCTGGGGAGGGCTGGGGGGCCTGTGTGGCCAGCGACTTGCCCCAGTCTCTCTATTCCTGTTGCAGGAGGGCACATGTTGCTGTAAAAAAGAGAAACTGGATATTTGCCTGGGAAGTTTTCGAGACTCTGCCAGGAAGAAGAAAAAAGGAGCAGGAGAAGAAGGAAGAGGGGCAAGGAAAAGCACAAATCTCGGGGGTCAAAAATGAGTAAGAACAAAAATGGCTTTGGCGAGCTTTCGCAACAATCACGGTGCACCAGCCAGTTTTCTCAAACCCAGTGAACTTTCTAATGGCATTAGGAGAAGTTCACTGAGCTTGGCGTTGGGAGAATTTATAGTATTCTTGGAAAGGGTTTTCAAACATTCTAGTTTGAAAAGAAATAAAATCAACAATCTTATTTGCTCTGTACTATTTGCCTTTCTGTCCTACTTATTCATGCAGTCTTAATTTATAAAAACAAATGGAAACTGCACTCCTTGGGTCTCCAGAAATACTGGGCCTTTTGCTGTGCTTACTTTCAGCTTCACAGCAACCTTGAGGGAGACATGGTTACTTCCAATCACAAAGGGAGCAACCAAGTCTGGAGCCATCTGGAGTCTTCCCGCAAGCAACCACAGCTTGTTGGAAGGGCAGGTTTTGAACCCAGGTCCCCATGACCACAGGGCAGTCCAGAAGTTCTTGGAGTCTTGGAATAGGCACCAAATCCCCCCGGTGAGAACTCCGAGTAGAAGGCTGGTGTCTGAACATTGAGCCAGTGCCCACAAGGCCAGTGCGTCTGGGCTAACGCTTCCCAGCCCGGGGCCACCGTGTCCTCCGTGAGGCCAGCAGAGCAGCCTCCACAGACCGCCCACCGCACACCCAAGGACAGAGACGTGCCCTGGTCACAGGTCCACAACATCGCCTGTCCCAGTTTGGCTGTTGCTTCCTCTTGCCAGGCAAGCCCTCTGGCTCTTCTGGCCAGGGTTATTTATAGCCCTGTTGTATTTGGTTTGCCATGGACGCCCTCCAACTCCCGTCCAGTGTCAGACAACCCGGGTGCGGAAGCCAGGTGAGCACTCGAAGGCGGGGAAGGCAGAGGAATCTCCAGCAGAGGTTTCCGTGGTGAGGAGGAAGCCAGGCTGCCAGCCCTCCGGCCAGAGGAGAGCCCCACCCCTCCCCTCCCGGAGCTCTCCCTCCGGGGCTTCCCACCATGCTGCTTCCCACACAGGTGGGAGCCCAGAGGCAGGTTTGGGGGACCAGGGGACAGCAGAGGTGCCGGGTTGTGGGCAGAAGTGAGGGCGTGCTGCTCCCTGGGCAGCTGTGTGGATCTGGGTGGCAGAGGCTGGGAGGAGGATGGGAACAGGGTCAGGGAAGTCCAACAGCTCCGTCCCCACGCTCTGGCCTGGAGAAGTGTTTTGCGGGTAAATGGAGTTGAGAAGGATAAACTAATAAATGAAGATGAACGAGTGAGCTGTGTGGATGAATGAACCCCGGCGGGTTCTGTCTGCAAGTAGTCCGGGGTTAGATTGTCAACTACTTTGTATGTACCTGTGCTTGCAAGCTGCTTTAAGAAAAATAACAATGTGTTTTCTTTCCCCGACGATGTTTCATGGTTCAAAAGCATTTCCACATGTACTGTATCATTTGCTGAAAACACATGTGATGAACAGGATTTGTTCTCCCAGCTTTATGTACAGACTAAGAAATCCAGGACAGGACGATGAAGTGAGGGTCCCACCGTGGGTGAGTGAAGCAGGATTTGACTTCCTTCTGTCTCTGTGGTGTTCAACTTTTACTTGAATGGATCTCATAGTCACACGATTCAAAATTCAAAATTGTCACAGCGTTAAGAAGACCTACCTCTGCCCCATCCACTCTGGCCACCCTTCTTCCATGAGCAAAAGACATCAGGCTGTGCACCCTGCTTCATAGTTTTATATGTTTTGCAGTTTGCTTTGGGTTTTTTAAAACTTTTTTAGTTTTAAGCTTTTAATAGTCCCCAAAACCAAATAAAATCAGTGTTTCAGCCAGAGCACCATCACTCGATAAGACTTTTGAGAATACCCACGCCTGTCCCCTCCCTGTAGTCCTACAAGTTTTCCATCACAATGACCGCGTGACAGCATCCGCCTGCGAAGTGAAGGACAGGAGATGTGCAGAAAGCCGCCTCTCTCGCGTCAGTGTGCGCACACCAGACACGGGCAGCGTCCCGGCAGTCCCGCGTGGAAGTGCATGACGCTGTGCTCTAAACGCAGAGAGCTCATCAGTGCGGGGGAGCCTCCTCCCGCTGTCCACGGCTGCGCGGCCCTGCCTGCGTGTGCGTCCCTCAGCACGCGCTCCCACTTCGCCTGCGAAGGGAGCTGAGGCCCTTCCCATGCAGACGAGGGCCGTGGGCAGCCGTGAGCACACTGCAGCTGCTTCTGTCCGATGATTCTACAAAGCAAAACCCGGGCCAAAGGATAAAAACACTTACAATTAAATCAAATTTCCACGTCTCCACATAAGAGTTCGTTTTACTTTAATCTGTTACATATGTAGAACTGTTGGTTTCCCAGTAGATTCGCCAACAAATTTCTATTGTTAAATTGAATTTTTGCCAATATGATTGTTTAGACTGATTGTTTAGTATAGTTTTACTTTGGATTTTTCTTCCATACTATAAATTGGAATTTTTTGGTCATTTATCTTTTGATTTTTGCTCATAAAGTTCTTTTTTATTTGATATTTGGACTTTTTACATTTTGGGTTGCCAAGAAATTTAAAACATATTTTAAATGCTAAGTTGGAAAGGTCTTCCTTAATGTAAAGATATAAAGGAATTAATTCATATTTTCTTCTAGTAATTTATTTTCGTGTGATGTACCTTCAATTGCTTTGGAGTTTATCTTGGTATCAAGGGTAAGGTAGAGCCAACTTCATCTTTCTCCAGGACAACCCCATGGTACTAACAATATTTATGCATCTTTATTTTTACCTTTTGGTTTGTTGTCAAGCAGGCTGGCCTGGAACCTGCTTCTTCTTGTCTCAGGTTCCTGTAGCAGGATTACAGACATGCATCTCCATGAGGGCCGATGCTATTTATTTTTAAATATTTTTTGCCCTGATTTCAGTGCTTATGCACTGATTTGTCTCAGTACTGGGGAATTTTTTGAAACCAGATTTTCCGATACAGCAAGTCTAATTGTATTTCTTTACCATCCTTTTCCAGCTGAAATAACATTTGTCTTATTAATCAGGACCTTTTTATGTCACATTTGCATAGAAGAATTGGGAAGGAGATGCCTTTATCTTCCACATAAAGGAAGTAATATTAAGGAAATCTATTTATAAGCCTGGAAGAAAAATAATTCTCCAGATATTATTGCTAGAAAATCTGAGACAACAGCATTTTCCTTCATTTATAAAGATGTTGCCAAGTGACTTCCTGCCACATGGGAGGCATTCTCCTCAAAGTGGTCCGGGGGTCAGGGGACCCCACCATCCCTGAAGGGGAGACGAACCCGAACCCTAGAGCACACAAACCTATGGAGCACAAGCCTCCTGCTGCTGCACACGGCCCACTCGAGCGGGCGACTGCAAAGCCTTCACCTCAAAAAAGAAAAATAACCAACGTTTCCAACGTTTTATCAACCAAGCGAAAGGCTTCTGCGGGCATACGTGTCTACAGTTTCACCGGCGTTCTGGCAGCCAGCCGCACTTCCCAGGGTAAAGCTTGCTTATTTGTGCAGGAGAGCTTGGAACAGCGTTAGCGAGTTCAAAGGTTCCGCAGAAGGAGCTCTGCTGGCCAGGCAGGCAGGAAAACAAGGGCAGAGCCAGCACCCTCCAGGGGTCACCGTGCGCGGGTTCGGGCGCTCCCGCCGGGCCGGACTCACCCCTCCTCCCTGTTCCCGCGCTGCCTTCTCCTCCTGTGACTCCGTCCTCCGCCTCTGGTGTCCGGCAGTCTCTGCTGAGGCCACGGCCTCGCCTCTCGGCCCCCTGCGCTGTCAGCTTCAGAAGCACCGCTGCCCTCCAGCCCTGGGACCCCGGGACACACACTCCCCGCTCCCGAGTACCGGCCCCTCCCGATCCAGCCTCCGCTCAGGCCCCTCGGACTCCTTCGGTTTCCCATTTCCCTGGCCCTTAGCACTGGCCCTCTGGCCACTTGCTGGTGTCTCTCTCCGCTGGCCGCCCTGTGCCTGGGAGCTTGCCCCCTGCTCAGTGGCCTCCAGGACCACCTCTGCCCTCCGTCTCGGAGGACTCACCGGCCAGGAGCCGAGCTTCCGGCCTCTGCCCCCTCCGCCCCCCCCCCCCGCCTGGTGTTCATCTCAGGTGAGAAAGCCAGCACGCGCCTGATGATGAGGCCAACGTCTCTCTTCTCCACGCTGCAAGGACAGAACACCCGCACCGTGACGTCGAGAGTCCATGGCAGGCCCCTGGCCACAGCCACAGCTCACTCTGGGCTTCTGTCCTCTTCCCTGTGAAGCAGGTGCAGCTACCCCCTGAGACTGAAGTGGACGGTGTCCTTCCTGTGTCAGGATCAGCGGTGGGACCCATCTCCGAGTGACAGCCAGGTGGGCCCAGTGTCTCTCCCCCCACATCCACCTGAGCTCATCAGGGTCCCCGGCCTCCCATTGCTCTGCTTTTCTGTCCCCTGTCGCTGCTGGAACAAATCGCCATGAACACCAAGCCACCGCCTTAGAGGTGAGCAGTCAGAAGGCAATAGCAGGTCTCCTGGAGGCATTGGGAGGGAGGGCTGTCTTCTCCTGCAGGGCTGGGGACCCATCTGTGTCCTCACTTTCCAGTTCTGAGGGCTTGTGGAATGTTTGCCATGCCTCAGAGTGAGTAAACTTCCATCTGACCTGGCTGGGAAAGGTGTGCTGGCTTCCATGGCTCGTGCGCATACAGGAGTGCCCCCCAGACAACCTCTTCATTTTAAGATGGGTAACCTTAATCATGTGCACAGCCCCTGTGCCAGGTAAGGTCATCCATTCACAGGTTCAAGGGCAGTGGTGGCAAACCTATGGCACGCATGTTATTTTTCTTTTAAGACAAAAGACGTTCATGTGTGAGTTGTTTTTTCTAAACTAAAATCTCAGTATTCAGGTTTAATTGTATTGTTGGCACTTTGGAGTAAATTGGGTTTGGGGTTGCAGTTTGGGTGCTCATCTCTAAACAGTTCACCATCACTGCTCCAGGGATTTTTTTCAAGGGTAGGGGCAGGGAAAGAGAAGTGTCATCTGCCTGGCCATCATCTCCTTAAATACCTGCTCAGATATCACCTTTCCTGTGAGGGCATTCCTGGAAATCCTTTTTAAACCCATTACCACCTCAACATTCCTTATATTGTTTTCCTGCTTCATTTTAAAAATGTCATTTATTGCCAGAGTTTACAACGTGTGTTGGTTAGCTTTCAGTGGCTGTGACAAAGTGCCTGACATAAACAAGTTGAAGGAGGAAGGTTGACTTTGACTGTGGTTTCAGAGGTCTCAGTCAATGGTCAGCTGGCTCCATCACCATGGCCCGTGGTGGGGAAGGCCATAGTGGCGGAAGGGCATAGTGGCAGAGCCCAGCTGCTCACCTCATGGAGTAGGGAAGCGGAGAAGAGGGTCAGAGTCAACAAAGAGGGGCCAGCAACCAGATCCACCCCCAAGGACAACTCCATGGCCCACCTCCTTTGGCCAGGCCTCACCTGCCATTCATCACCTCCCAGAGATTCTGTCCAGTTATGGTCCCATCGATGATGAATCCACTGGAGAAGTGAGAGCCTGCTTGATCCAGTCACCGTCCAAATCCCACCTTGAACACAAGACACTTTTGAGGGGCACTGTAGATCTCAACCACAGTAGGGTGACCTATGTTACAATTTAGTTTATTCCTCTACCTTTCCTTGTTGGAATACAGCTGTGTGTGGGGCGGGGGTTCACTGCTAGGTGCTCCATCTCCAGAGTGGGCAGCCGCGCGCGTGTTGAACGAAGCGTGAGTGAATATGGAGCCAACCTTGTTCCTGAGGGAGACTTTTCAAAGCAAAGGGTAAAACGTATTTTGACAAATATCCCCACAGATTCACTGTAGAATTTGTAAAACTCCTTTTTTTTCCCGGTGGATCTTAGTATAATTAATAAATGGAATTTGCTAGATACCAGTGTGTAGAGCGCTGCAGTAGGTCCCTAACCTGGAATGCGCTGGAGTTGAAACTGGGAAGGTGTTCTTTGAATGTGGTAGCAATTATTTTTTAAATTATTGTTTACGGAAATGAAATCTACATGAACCATTTTAAAGAATAAGGCTCACTGCAAGTTGGCACACTCATATCAGTGTATAATCATTGTTTCTATCTTCTCAAACATTTTCATGGCATCAAAAGCAGACCATCGGGTGCACTAAGTATCACTCCCAGTCCCCCACCCAGAGCTCCCAGCTGGCACCCCTCTGCCTTCGGCCTTCGAGATGTGCACTGTCTGGGTATTTCACATAAATGGGATCACTCCTGAACCTTTGTGTGAGGCTTCTTCTACTAGACATCATGTTCTCTAGGTTCACCTATGTTGCAGACTGATTTGTGGCTGACCAACATTCCCTTGCATGGATCTGCCACATGGTGCTTATCCATCTATCTGTCGCTGAGTGTTTGGGCCATTTCCTCCTTTTGACTGTTGTGAACTGTGCTGCTATGATTCAAGCAAAAACTTGCTCCCAAACCTCATGGCTTCCTTGTGGAAAATATGAAATCCATACAGATTATATAATTAAAGAGAGCATAACCAGTAATCCCAAACTTCCCGTAGTTCATTTGGGAGAAGTAATTTGTTAATGCTGTTTTCCCAACCACTTCTTTCATTCCAGGTATAAAATCGTATACTGGAACATTTAGAGTAAAAATACAGGCATCGATTGCATATTCTGGGGGAAACAAAAGCACTTCTTAATTAGGGAGACAAAATGTCATGGTGACAGCAATTGTTGATTATCACAGTCAACATCGTGTTCATGAGCGGTCAAACACAAATATTTAATTCTTTAGAGGCTTTAAAATGTAAATCTTAGAAACAGATGAGTTCTACAACAACTAAACAATATAAACTAGGGAGGTGCTCAGTCTCCTGGGTCCAGTTTATTTAAAATGCAGTAATCTTTGTGTCCTTAAACGCTCCAGAAATTAAATATACAACACTTTAGAGGCACTAAGGTCACTGTTTTATAATCCTACAATTAAAAACTCTCCAGAAATATATCAGGCATATCCAAGTACATTTACTTTTTATTTCTTTGTAATGAACGATTTAAAGTATTTTCACAACATTTTCTCTTGGTTGTACTTTCCATTAAAGTCCCTGACTGTCAATGACAGCCATGCACCAGAACCTGACATGCTTGTACAAACACCAGTGTTTGGGCCAAACCCCAGACCAACGGAGCTGGAGTCTCGAGGGCCACGCCCGTGCGGCTTTATGGGGCTCTAGGTCGGGGTGAAGCGTCTCTGCAGAGGTCCTGTCCAGAGCGTGAGTCAGATCCCCCCTCCCGCCCGGGGCCGCCTGAGATGAGCTGAGGCCGGTGTGGCTGACCTGGGACATGGCGGACAGAGGTCACCGGGTCAGATGAAGACACAGCTGGTTTTCAATGCCCATGTGACACCTGGAAGTTGAGTTTTTATGTATTTGAGAGGATTTTCCTTGGCAATCTTTTGAGACAATGGGGCCTTTGAGTCAGATGGCCTGGTGAGAATGCTACTTGTTCTGTAGAAGCTCAGAATCTCTTATTTCTAAAGAATCTCTTATTTCTAAAGCTTCAGTTCCTTCATCTGTGAAATGGGTAAGAAATGCTTGTCTTAAGTTAGGTGTGAAAAACGTATGTAAGTTGCTCTACCTGTAGTAAACGGTAGGTAATGTACTATAATTCTTCACTTTTGGGGGTAGCTTTCATTTTCAACTCTTGGGGCTTTCCTCTTGCCTAATTGGCTATCAAGTCCTGTATTTGTATTAGGTTAATAACTGAGGGAATGTATTGTAAAATCAAGAAGAGCGTCAGGTTCAGGGTCTGAAGGAACAGATGATTTGCAAAGGCTGAGAGTCTGCAAACACACAATGACCAAAAGCTTCAGGTTTGGAGTCCAAAGACCCTGGGCTGAGAACTGCCTGAAACTTCTCTGATCTGGCCTTTCCTCTGTAAAATGATGGTAATAAAATTCCTGCATGTTGGGTTGTTTTGATGGTTGTAACAGATGAGATAATGCGAGTACAGTGATTAGCGTGGTCCTGTATATAACACGAGTACTCAACACATGCTTGCTGTCATTAAACTGAGGGTAATTGATGCCTAACTGCTCCTGTAAATATTAACCCTCCTTCCCCTCTTTTGAGCTAATGTGGCTTTATGGTGTTTTGCAGGGCTTGAGGAAGGAATGTAAGTTCTCCACAGGGAATGCAGCTCTTGAGAAGAAATGGGTTTACTACTCCCCGTCCATCTTCCAAATGCAAGACTAGAAAGGGTTTGCTCTTCAGCCACTAAACAAATTCACGCTCTTCCCATTGCCAGAAGTAAGAGAGGAGCAATGGACTTCTCCGGTCAATCAACGAGCCGAACCTTGCTGCAAAGTGTTGCCTGCATATCCGACCTCAGGTGGGAAGGAAGCCATCCTCCTCTGGGGCGTGATGTAAATGATCAGCAACACCATTCTTTCGGGAGGGCCGCTGGTGTGCTGAGAGCGCAGCTCTGTTTTCCACAGTACCAAGAGGTGTTTCCCAAAGTGGGGGCCGCTTTCCACGGGACACGAGATGGTGCTGCGTTGGGCCGGACAATGTGGGTTGAACACCTGCATTTATTTTAACACCTATTAGGACAACACCAGTGCTTAGTTTTCCAGATGCCACTGTTTAGGGTAAACCGAGTTAAGTACAAGACTCCAATCTGGGGCCAAGCAAACTAGGGACATGGTGGCACAGGTGGTTCGGTGGGTGTGGAAGGAGCCCGGATGCAGATGAAGCATCTTCAAAGGATGTGGCTCAGCCCTCTGCAGCTAAAAACCACCCAGCCGTGTATGCCACAGGTAGAGGGGACTTCGGACCACGGAGCCCAGCATGGCAATGACAATCTTTGCTAAGTTTTCAGTCTTTCGTGGTTGTCATTGGTAGTATTCTATTAATTGCCGAGGTTGTTCCTTTAAAGATTTACACCAACAATAGAAGGAAGATCAAGAGGGAACAGCTAAGTCATGGACTCAACAGCAAGTGTCAACCTTTCACACGTAATGAATTCTGTTTAAGGCTACCATCAAGACCGGTCCCTGTCAGCTAAGGTAGGAAC